CCCCTCAACCATGTGCATTCATATGCCAATTTCAGAAAGCCCCTTCACGACACAGATTGGAGCTCTCCAAGAACGCCATTCATAGGAGGGCCTAGTAGGAGAATGAGCACAGGCTTCAGACAAGTCTGAATCCAAACCACACGTTTGCCTCTGAGTCTCATCTTTCAGTAAGTTTCTAATTTGCCTGAACTGCTGAAAAAGAGGATAACATCAGGTTCCACAGAGTGATTGTACAGACCAAGATGTAGCAGCCCAGCATGCAGCACAGTGCCTGGCCCCCTGCCAGGGTTCAAAACCCAGTCCTCTCTGGTATCTGAGAGAATGCTTTTGTCCTGTATGGGCTGTGGAAGGCAGATTCACTTCCAACTCCTTTGAAGTCTCTCCTGACCCTTCACCTTTGTTTCATAAAGCTAACTGATTCTGGTGATGGAAAACTGCCTGGAGTAGTTAGAAATATTTCTGGTGTAAAGAGCACTGGATTTTTTTCCCCCAGGGACCTTTATATAACTCTTTCTTTAATGCTTATTATATACTTGACCTTGCAAATGTCATATATCCTCTCTGAGCCTCAGGGATATGGGGGAGCAAAGTAATCAACTCCATAGGTTTGTGCTGAGAATTAAGAGACGTTCGAGCAAGTGTCTGGTAAAGTGTTACACATTATAAAAGCAACTTGTTCATCACACATCATCTTAACAGCACTACACCTTTGACTCCTTTTTCCTTACGAGCTTTAGATGTGATAGATATGTCATACATTAATGTGAATCACCCTCTTATCTCACAATTGATATGGAATTTTCCACAGTTATTTGAAAATAGAAGCTGGATCTTGTTAAATTAATCTCTCCCTTAGTTTGGAAAGGAGAAAAATGGGCCTGGATTCTCCCCAGTTTGGGGGCCTAGATAAGAGTCTAATCTATCAGTTTCCAGAGAAAATGTTTACGACATGATAATTCATACATTTGGAAATCTAGCACGCTCTCAGTTTCCAGTCTGAGTAGCAACAACAGGGCCAAATCTCTTTTCCAGGATCATTCCTCTTTTCACATCTCTGCCATACCCAGGCTTCCTGGCACACAGAGACCCTGGCAAAGGTCCACCCATTCACAGCTGAGTTACTGGGAGCCATGGCAGCCTTGTGCCTCAAGTCTCTGAGGTGACACTTTGGCAGGGGCTTTGTGCAGCTGCAGAGAAGAGCTGGTTTCCTGGAAAGGCCTGGACCATTTTGTCTGAATATATACCACTGTGGCGCAGTGCTAAAAATGTACAAACAAGACTGAAGAAATTTTAAAGAAGGGGTAAAAGGAGTCAAGAAAAATAGGTTTGCTAATTAGAAAGTGCTGAGGATTCCAGCAGAAATTCCTCGCTCTAATGCTTTGTTGCATAATTCCAGGGGCAAAACTTACATTGAGCTCTGTGGATCTATCTAGCGGGTGCTATTTGTAAAGGAGAACAAGTAAAAGGTGCTCTAGGTTTTTGTGTAGTGGGATCTCGCAGAAACCAAACCCTAAAAGGATCAAACTTCTAATTCCAGCAAAACTTATGTTCATATATTAATTTTCTCCTTACAGCATACCACTCTCTACCACAAAGAAATGAACAACCAGGGAACCATATTAAAACTCTAATCAAAATTTCAGTGTGTGGGGCAGCAGATGACGTAGCAGTTATGTCGCTGGATTCCCACATGGCCGACAGCAGTTCCAGTCCTGGACTTGGTGGCTTGAAACTCAAGTTGGATGCATGTGCGTGTATGCCCAAGATCCTGGCAAGAGAATGGAGAAGGGATTGTGGTGTGGCCATCCCCCAGGGGGCTGATTTCTCACTTTCCTTCTCACTGTCTCCTTCTCTCTCTGGCCTTCTCTCTCTCTCTCTGACAAGTACACATGCCCTAAGGAAAAGACCTCTACCAAAAAAAAGAAAAAAATATTCAGAAGTGCACCATTTAAAATTCCTGGTGTGTAGATTTGTAGTTATAATGTACTGTTGATAATTTATCTGCTCTTCTTTTTCCATCTCATTTGATATACTAATTCCCAGTACCCATTACACCTAGAGAAGTCTCAGGAAAAAAACTAAAGAGAAGAAAATGATACTTTACTTTTAAATAAATGCCAAAGTCATCTCTCTGCCTCAGGCTCTCAAGATAAAAGACAGCAGCTGAGTAATTCAGGCAGTACGTCTGGTGGCTCTGACAGAGGATCCCTCGGAAATACTGGAGGAAGAAAAAGCAGAGGGGAATGAACAGAGGTTAAAAAGACCACTGAGCACCAACAGACTGCTTTCTTCTCATCACCACCACCATGAACTATTCAACAGAACAGGGAAAAGTGGCAGCTGCCAAGTGTGATTACATGGATATAAACAGATCATCTTCATAGTAAAGAGTCTTTTAAGAAATAGGGTAGTCCCATAAAAACAGTTAACTGCTCAATGGACAGTTTTTTCTCTCCCATATTTGAAGGAATTTCATTTAGGATGTCTTGATTTAATTCATCCTTTTACTTTCACTAATGCTTTGTTCTGACCAACACTCCTGCATGACATCTAAAAATACATATTGCCTTTGATTTTGGTCCTCATATCAGTTGACGTGAATCTTATGTTGGCAGTAAGCAATTAAAATAATGACACTTACCTTTTCAAGAAATATTTTTAAAAAAAATCCACAAATTTAATTCCACTGGGTTCTAAAAAATGTAGAAATTTGGAACACATCTACTAAGTGTACTGTATTTAGCAGCAGGCATTTCATTACTGTTTTTACGCAATCTAATACTCGCCTTTCTTTCTCTTCATTATTAGTAATGTCTTAAACTTGTTATAATGGCTACATATTAGTAAGTCACCTCGAGTTAATTTTAAAATAAGGCAAATTATCTCTATCTATATATGACATATGTAATTATATATACATATCTATGGTGATCAAACTGAGCAGACTGTCCAATATACCACCAATGAAAGTCATCCTTTTTTCCTCAGGAATACTTCTGATCTGTGACTGGCAGGCCCCTTCTTCAGGACTCCCTAGTGTTCTACCATGTTGCTATGTAACAAGTCATGGGGCCCAGTAAGGAATTTGCAGTGCTCTCTCAATATGGTGGCATCAGAAGGAGGATGCATTTGCTGGCAATGTTATGACCATGGTGAGTGGAGAAGGCAAATCCAGCCTAAAAATTCATTAAGGAAAGTGACAGTAAGGCCAGAAACAGTGAAAATCTAGAAAAACATCATTATAGGACCTCAAAGAACAAAAATGTTATAGGTGGTAATGTCAAGTTTCGGTTTCAGAAAGAAATAATTTGAAAGAAATTGATCAGAGTTTATTTGGGGCTTAGGGGGTGAGTGTTGACTGCTGGGCAGAGGAGAGGGCTTGGAAGTGAAGAGAAGATCTTCTCACAGGCTGTGTACTTAAGAAACATCTTAAGTAGGAGGGCATTGTTAAAAGGCCAAAGATTGAGTCATCAATGGTCAGGGTTAGAAAACCACCATCCAATTGCTATATGAGCTTAGCCAAATTATCTGACCTCTCCAAACCTCAGTTTCCTTCTTAGTGCCTTTCTCAGATGGTTCATGGGTGAATACCAAAGTGTCTCAATCTTCTAGCTGGTGGGCTTCTTGTGAGACATGGTGGTAGACTAATTACTGTTCATCTACTTTTCTTATGTGGGGAGAATTATATGCACCTGTTCTATTAAAGGTAAGCTTGGCCGTGTGACTTTCTTTGGCTGACCAAATGTGAGCAAACATGCCATGTGCTGTTTCAGGCAGAAATTTGAAGAGCCAGTGAGTGCTTTACCACAGTCTCTTATGTCTTTGCCATGGCAATGGGTGATGCTCTAGGCGATGGCTGCCTCAGCAGTTTGGGTTCCAGAGTCAGGGTGATAAAGTAGAAGCTGATCATCGTGATCTATAGACAAAGCCCTGGAATTTGGGGATTGTTTGTTATTGTGGCATAACTGAATCTAATCTGACTGATGTAGAACCTTCTAAAATTAGGGAATGTTTTTATAACTCATCTTCACATATCTGCAACATAGTTTGGAGTATTTAAGTGTGAGTTATAGTATAGACCTTGACTAAAGAGTCCCATTCCTTAACAGGCTATAATGTACACTTACATGTTTTGTGGAGAAGCTGGTATTCCTCCAGACCATTTACTAAATTAAGTTATAAAAGCTTTTTTATTCTTTTTTTAAAGAGTTTTTTGCTTGAGGTGGTGTGTGCTCTCCAGAGAGAGAGAGAGAGAGACAGAGGCAGTTAGAGTGAAAGTGAGAAATCACCCCAAGAGGGATAGCCAGGCCACAATCCCTTCTCCATTCTTCTCCCAAGTTCTTCAGCATACATGCACATGTACCTGGTGTGAGTTTCAGGTTGATGAATTCAGCGATGTAACCACTACACCATCTACTGCCCCCCTCCCACATTTTCTTATTCTTAAAGAATGGAAAGATCCTGAGATTTTACCTAATTTCTCAAACTTACTCTTTTTTTTGTTTTTCAAAGCTTTTCTTATTTAAATCTGTTTTCAAAGTTCACTAAAGTTTTTCCCTACTAGTTAACTGTGCTTTTGCCTTGTTGAAACTTCTTCTCCTTTATATTTCACCTCAAGCATCATTTCACCAGAAAACATTTCCTACCTATAACTATCCTGCCATCCACTCCAACTTAGAAGTCATCCTTTGTTGGGCACTCATTATACCTATGTTTCTTTTTCCCCAGCTTTTATCTCAATTTGACTATATACTTATTAGTGTCATCACTGGATTACTTTCCTCCCCATTAGACTGAAAATGCCTCGAGAGCAGGGAGGCTTTTCTAATTTTGCACATTGTTGTTTACAGAGCATCACTCCCATATTGGTAAATGTTCAATAAATCTCAATCTACCTTTTTTAGTGGAGTGTAGGAATTCAAATCTTGCTAAACTAGATAGAGATTGGATTAAAAAGCTTAAAATTTAAAAAGTGGGGAAGGAGGTTCAAATATGTACTCAAGAAATAAATAGCATTTATCAAACTAGGCCTACAGGTTTTCCTCTTTTCTCCTCATTTCACACAGAGAAATATTATCAAAGGTGTTAAGGGATTTGAAGGTTGATGTTGTTCCTTTCTGAGAGACTGGCACTTTTGTTAGAAGAACAACTGAACCATGTAATTAGCATACACCAAACTATTGCCATGAATATTGCTTTAAATTGAAGTCATTTAAAAAACAGACTTAGAAATGGCTTTTCCATGCATGCAGATTTCCATGTTAATAAAAGCCACACAGGAGATGTGACGATGAGAAAACAAATTCTGGGAGTTATTTTTGAGAACACTGATAGTTGAAGAAAGAGATGGTTTCTTTGTGAGAGGGTGGTGGAAGAATTTCCCAGGGTACAACAACAAAATTTAGTAGAAACAAACAATTATGCTGGGAAGTGGGGTAAGTTTACTACACAAAGCTGAGATCTCCCAGAAGGGCTTTACCTTTGTGAGCACGGAAATGAAATCCATCGATGGTGAAGTCTCAGAAGCATAGTTCTTGATGATGCCAAAAAGACTGTTCACAAAATCGAGGCTTGTCTAGGGCCAGAGAGTAAGAAAACATGAGTAATCACAAACCCAGGATAAGAAATAAAAATTCGATAAACTCCAAATATTCTTATAGAAGTTTCCCATTTCAAATGTATCACCTCGCAAAACTTAAAGATTTATTTTCTCTACTTTCTAATATATATTTTCTTAGAAGTTTTTCTTATAAATAAATTCACGTTATTATCTCTCTTCTTTTCCTTTTTTTTTTTTTTCTTTTTTTTTTTTTTTGGAGAGAGTTTTCACTGTAGGGCGCGTGCGCTCGCCCGACAGACAGAGAGAGACAGAGAGACAGAAAGCGAGAAATCACCCCCCAGGGGGGATGGTCACGCCGCAATCCCTTCTCCTCCATTCTCCTCTCGGGATCTTGGGCACGCACGCACACGCGCCGGGCGTGAGTTTTAAGCCACCGGGTCCGGGACACGAACCGCGGTCGACTACGTGGGAGTCCAGTGACATAGCCATTACGCTAACTGCTGGTTCCCTCTCTTCTTTTCCTTTTGAGAGGAAAGATATTATGTGCATATAATACATGAGAGGACCCTTCCTCTCATTCATTTGAAAAATAAACACATACGAAGATGATGGAGATGTTAAGACCATGTCTACTTTCCTAAATAACTATGAAAAAATGAAAAATAAAGGTTTGTATCTGTAATCTATTTGAAAGATGTCAGTGAATATCTAGACTTGTTTCTTATTTTCTTTTAATTTTCTTTCCTTCTTTCTTTCATGAACAAGAAAAAAGAGAGAAAAACAGAGAGAGAGAGAGAAACAGAGAGGCAGGCACCTCAAACAGGGGCCTCACACCATGGTCTCCCCCAGCCTCAGCTAGCCTTAGATCATGGGCACACATGTACCCAAGATGTTTAGAGAGGTCTTTGACTGTGAATCCCGAATCATCTCATGTGGGACAGCCTCAACAGATCTTTTTTACCTTATCACTGTACCACCATCCAGCCTCTAGAATTTCCTGCAGTTAACAGAACTCCTGGCTATACCTCCAGTGAGTTTTATTTTATCTTTTATATTTGTTTTCCATGAACTTTTCTTTTCCTTTTTTTCTTTTTTTTTTTTTTTTTTAATTCTCTGGTGAATTTAAACATGACTCTAGGGGCCGGCTCTGTAGCTTGGTGGTTATGGTGGCTGGATACCAAATGGCATCCACACTGTTTGAATTCTGAACCTTGAAAAACACTGGGCATGTATATGTCTGAAAGGAGGGTGAAAGAGAAGAGAAAGGATCGTCGCATGACCATTCCCCATGTGGGATGCTTTGTTACTTTCCCTCTCTCTCTTTTTCTGGCAAGTCATGTACCCCCTAGAAAAAATAACAAAAACAGAAATAAAACAAAAGAAACTAAAAAACATGACTTCTGGCTTCTTCCTACTTGGACTCACCTGAGTTAATTCCTCCAAGTTTGCAAAAAGTCTCCATGAATCCACGTCTAGGAGATAGTCACGAGTTTGCAGGTATTTTAGTGTATTCATAAAGATCTTGTAAAAATACAAATGCACATTACTTTCTGGTTTTGGTTTTGAAAAATGCTCTTTGCAAGAAACATTAACCAAAACCCCCTTTGCAAGAAACATAAACAAACCTTGGCACCATGAGGCCCATATACCTTTACAAAATAATCTAGAAATCAGTATTCTTAAGGTTTAAGAATTTTACTCCATACGAATGATGACATTTAAGCTTCAGAGAACATATTGGAAATGTGCTCTTTGATAAGAAGTTGTTGTTGCTTCTGTGAACCTTATTCCTGTTGAACATAATCTGTCCAAATGGTCTTTCTCTGCTTCACAGTGCCAAAGAAATCCCAAAGGTTCCCTTCTTGCCAACAGCACTAACTTGAGAGCAAAACAACATTCATGCTGTGTTCTCATTTATTCCTTCCTCTGCAAAACATCCAAATGCCCTTTCATTTCAGAGCATTAAAAATACAGAATTAATTACTTAATATCTGGTTATTGGTAAAATGTTTCAACTTGGATAAAGATATTAAATATTAATGAAAAAGCTAAGGGAGTCTTTATGTTATTACTACCAGATTTGATGCTTTCACACGACAAAGGAACTACTCTGTAACAAGTCAAGAAAGAAGCACTGTAGTTCTCACTCATAGACAATCTGCTCCCCATTCTCTAAACTCAGGAGAGATCAATAATTGAAATAGGGATACTTTGTTTATTTAAGATGGGAAGAATTCAAAAAGGGATAAGGGCCAATTATTTCAAGAATTTTAGGTGTGAACGAACTAGACATTAGATGGCTAGCCTTCTTTAGGTTCCATTCCCATATAATTTAATTAGTGCAGTGAGTGCTTCTTTTTGCTTTAAGATTTTTTACTTTTTAGAAATTGTTCACATTTTGTCATAAAAAAAGACCCAGACCTCCAGTATATTTATTTTACTATTTAGTTATACATTTTCAATTCATAAGCAACTTTGGGCAACCACATTGATTACATAAATAGAGTACAAGGGGACTTTAAAAAGTTTGTTGAAATAAAATCCTGTAGTAGTCAACTAGTTTTCTGTTACCTCATCTTGTAAGCATCCTTATACAGCAGTCTCTGTTTCTGTTTTCTTATATATAATGTCATTGTGGCTTAAATTTTGCTAAGTAAACTATACAGCACTGTGACTGGCAACTTTACTTACAGAGAATATCTGACATGATATAGCACTTGACAGATTATCAAGAAAACTAATTTGATCATCATAGTGATCTCATGAGAGCCAGAGATGATTGTTATTCTTCTCTTAAAACTTAGGGCAGGAATTGTCAAATATAGCCTGGGGTTTAAATCTGGCCTGCCACCTATTTCTGTAAATGATATCTTTTTGTGTGCAACACAGCCTTGTACATTTCTTTGCATATTATCTATGGCTGCTTTCGCACTTGCAATGTCAGAGTTGAATAGTTGCAACAAGGGTCATGCAACCTGAAAAAACCTAAAATATTAACCATCTGGACTTCTACAGAAGATGTTTGCTTACTCCTGATGTAAGATAAAAGGACTAGACCTTCCTAAGGTCACATGACAAGTCAGAGGCAGACTCAGGGCTTGAACTTGGGTATCGTAGTATAGTACTTCTAGCTGTGTAAGATAGTAATTCAAAAGTGCTATGGGTAGATACAAACCTAGGAGCCATGAGGCCCATATTTCCCTGTGGTCTTGTAAGGAAGGCTGTTTCCTCCCTTTCTGTCCCTGTGATGTTCCTAAGATGTTTCTAAGTCTCTGCTCTGAATATCACCAGATCAAGGCTGTAGCACTCTGCAAACTCAGGGCCTCATTTAAATAGAAGACATCAGTGAATGCACCATGTAATACAACTACACTGAGTTACATGTAGACGGTAGCTCTGGAAATCTGTTAACTGTGGTCCTGCAGATGATAGGAAGCCTTAACCTGGCATCATTCATGAGGGAGCAAGAGTAGCCAAAAAGAGAAAGCAGACCAAAGACAGAACAGGCTGCTTTAAGCCTGGTTGTGAGCTCTACCACTTTAGGAGTATATAAACACAGGGAAGACTAAGGCCAAAGAGATGCAAATATCAGGCAGGAGACTGGACTAGTTTACTTAGAGGAGCTCACCCAATCCTGAGAGGCCTTCGGTTAAAATAAGAACGAAGAGACAACTAAATAGTAGATAAACAAACTGAATAGTAAATAAATTAAATTTTCTTTATGATCCCCAGAAAGAAGAGAAAACAAAGCAAAAATACCTTAACCTTTTTTTCCTCTTAGTGTGGAAGAGGAAAACAAGTCCCTAAGGTATCAAATTAAGATTTTCCATTTCCTACAAAAACACAACCCAGTATTACCATCTTAAGAACCAGTAAATGGTCCAGGAAATAAGTGCATTCACTTGTGAACAGTTCCCACACTGCCTCTTGCTGCTTTCTTAAGTCCAACTGATCAGTAGAAAGTTTTGGATACAATCCCATGACTTCAGTCCAGGTCTTGTCCTGTATGAGAGGAGAGAAGAGAGAAAATAACATTCCACCTCAGTGGGATGACCTGGCTGCTACTTGGTTTGCCTTGTAGTGCAGCAAGAACATGTGATCCTCTCAATCATTATTCCTCCTGCCGGTCCCAGGTATCTCTCTCAACGGTGGCTCCTGAAGCTACCCAAAGCAGAGCTTCTCCCTGCGTGGCTCTGGGATGCCAGTTCTTCCCTGTGCAAAGCATGGACTGCACAATTACTTAATTTTTACTTAAAATGAAACAAATTGTTATTCTAAATTATGCTTGAAGATTGTCTGAGACCTTTTCTATTTATTGCCAAAAAATCTCCCAGAACCCCAAGCTCAGGGCTGGGAAGTCTGGTTCTCCTGGCAAAACTTGTTGAAATTAAGTTCCCAAGAGTCGTGGAGTAAGAGTTTTAGAGCTCAAGGAATCCTTTAGAAAGTGTTTATTCAGAAATGACTTTTCCAGTGAGGATTCTGAGGCCCAGAGAGGGAGACAGTGGTAATCACTATTATCAGCGTTTGTACAGGTCTTTGAGGTACCAGTGCTCTTAGAGTGGTTACCTCATTTAAGATAAAGTTACTTTCTCTAGGTTTTAGAGTGTTACAGCAGAGCAGGCTTTGTTTGTCTGGGCCTGGATTCCCTCCTGCACTTAGCTGTTCCTATGGACTAAAGGAAAAGAAAGAAGAGGCGAAGGAGGAGGAAAATGATAAGCAGTGTGACAGTGTACACATGTACGTAGTCTACAATTTTTACTGTACCTTAAAGCTGTAGAACTCATAGCCCCTGAAGTCCGTAATCTTCATGGAGGAGAGACAATTCTCCAGGTCTGATAGGTGCTTGTGCTTGTCTTTCCCCTGTTTAAAGATCATTAGAAACAAGATTTTCAAATATGATTCTTTAATAACATGTCTTTGGTCAACCTCAGCATCTACATTCATTCGCTTAATATTTATGAAAACAGACTACACATTTTATCTTTCAGCCCACTAACACTTCCAAAGCCATTTCTGAGCCACAGTCTGACCTATAAGACCACAGAATGTCAGAGCTAGAGGACAGAGGCCCTGGTCCAAATCTTTAATTTATGAGTAAATTAAAAAAAAAATCTAAGACACAAAATGGTCAAATAGCTAATAGATAAACTTCAAGTCTAGTATCACTCTGACATAATGCCCTTCATAGTTTTACCTTTTCCAAAGTTCTGGATCATAGAACTTTAGCAGCAGAAGGTGCCTCAGATATATTAGTTAAACCTCTAATTTAGCAGATGACTAAATAAAAAATAAAATACTGTGCCCAACATAGTAATATTTTTTTGCTAAGAGATACAAGAATGTTCTAGAAACTCTACTTAAGGTGGAACCATCCACTTTTTTTTGTTACAGTCTTCATTCTTAATATATTTGCTGTAAAAATCTGATTACAGAGGTAATATATGATTACTGTAGAAGGTTTGAGAAAAAAACCAGGTGTCTTGGTAGTTAAGGCAGCTGGATCCTACATGGCCAGTTGTGTGGTTCAAGTCCAGGACTCTGTGACTTGAAAAAATGCAAGGTAAGTGTGAGTGCATTCCCAAAATCCAGAAAAGAGAAAGCAATGAAAGAAAAGGGATTGTGCAGTAACCAGACCCATGGAGGATGCTTTATCACTTTTCTTCTCTCTGACTCTCTGTCTTACTCTGGCAAAAGCATGTACCCTGTGGCAAGATACATAATAATAATAATACATTTGAAAAACACAATGAAAGTTCAATCTAAAATAATCCTTACTCTCAGATAACCATTGACATTTTTTTCTGATTATATTCACTATTTTTTTCTTTACTCACGATAAGAGTGAGTATGCATAGTGAGAGAGAGAGAGAAGCACCCTCCACAGGGTCTTATCATGCCACGATCCTCTTCCTCTAGTCCTCCGGCCCTTCGGATCCTGCACACTGCAGCAAGTATCTGGCAAGCTTCAGGCTGAAGTCAGTGATTCATGTGGGAAATGGCTTTCTGGAGCCACATGCTGTTGCTGTGCCATGGAGCTGGCCCTTGTAATTAATTTTTAAATGGTACCATACATGTCCTTTTATAAAGAGTTTTTTTTTTTTAACTTAACTTATTGTAAGCAGTGTTCTGATTGTTCAATATTCCAACATAAGAAATTACCCACTTAAAAATTTCATTTTATCAACCTAACCAGGAAGAAGCTATCAAAAAACAATACACAAAGCTTTCTAAAGTCAACTTGGCTTCATTTCAAAAGGATGTTTATTACAAATAATTTTTCATCTTGTTCTCTTGCTGCAGGGTACATGAGGCTGGCACAGATCTAAACCGTTTGGTGGAAGCTAGTCAATCTTATGTGAACGAGCCAAAGGAGAAGCAAGTTATCTGCTGTTGTGGGTAGGGAGCTCCCAATACAGGGTCTGAAAATAGACCCTATCATAGTTTCAGAACATATTAAAAAGCTGGTTTCTCTAGTAGAGTTATGGCACCAAAGTTGAAACCTATTGTAGACTCATTAGCCTCCACTGCAGCAAAGGAATCTTGGAGCCAGTTGGAGGCCTCCTACAGCAAGTAGGACATATGCTTTTTGTTGATGTCTGAAACCATAGTGACTGCCTGTTGTGGAAATAAAAAATAGCAGCAGCCAGTTGGAAAAGAAAGAAGCTGAGACAATGGAAGCAGCGTTGGAGTTGTGGGAAAGTGGGCGCCAGCTCGTATCTTGAAGGGCACTCACTGTGGTTTTCCATGGGCTTCACTGACCTTTTGGCCAAACAGCTTGGTGGATAGGCCAGGGAGAAAAGAGGAGAGGAGGAGACAGTTCTCTCAGTGATTACATTAACTCTTCAGAGTCACAGACCTATTCAGTGCCTTTTTGTTTCCACTATGGAAGCTCAGATTAGGAGAGGCAATGAGAAGCATTTGAAGGGTAGCTGAGAGGATATGGGGGGAATGAAGAAAAGTGAGAAGGTCAGGTTCACTTTGGAGTTTCAAACTTAGTAACTACGAGGTAGGTGGAATGAAATTTATAGAAGGCACTGTTGACATGGACTGGGAATGAAATTGAAGGTTAAGATTGAATCTTAACATTTTGGAGTGGTTCAAAGATGGCTTTGAATCTATGAGAATAGACAAGATTTCAGAACTCTGAGAGAAAGCAGGGGAAAGTGTCCAGGCCTGGATAAGGGACTCTCACAGTTAAAGATGTACAAGGTCAAGGATAGAACATACTCAGGGTCAGACTGCCTGCAACTTCTGGAGAAAAATCTCTGCTCTATTATGGGCTGTGTGACCTCAGCAAAACAAATTAGCCTCTCTGAATCCTAGTTCATGCCATTTGCGAAATGGGCTAATCTTGTTGGAGTATGTGGGAATTAATTAGTTTACATATGTAAATAATGGCTTACACAAATAGGGACATATGTAAACAGAAGCAGTACCTGGTAATGTAGTAAACATTATATACGTGTTAGCATTTATTATATATATATATTTACATATATATAGATATAGATACACATACACATACACACACACATACACACACACACACACACACACACACACACACATTTTTTTTTTTTAAATTGAGCCTTTTGCTACAGGATGTCACACACACACACACACACACACACACATTTTTTTTTTTTAAATTGAGACTTTTGCTACAGGATGTGTGTGCTGGCTGGAGAGATAGAGACAGAAAGTGAGAAATCACCCCCCAGGGGAGCTGGCTAAACCACAATCTCTTCTCCTCAACTTTCTTCTCTGGACTTTGGACACACACACACATGCTCCTGGTGTGAGTTTGAAGCCACTGGGTCTGGAACTCCTACCATAGTCAGCCATGTGGGAGTCCAGCAATGTAACCATTCTGCCATCTGCTTAGTCCCATCATTTGTCACCAATATTTTTATTGAAGTTGGAAGACAGGAAGGAGAAAGGAAGGAAGGAAAGTTAAGAAAAGGGAAAAGTCTGGAATAGATTGGGGAAAACATTACAGCTTAGAAATGTGTTTGTTAGATTGATGTGGTTATCATTTATTTAGATGTCAATTACTTGATAAATAAGGCTAATAGGATGAAGGGAAGAACTAGATATATTGATTTTAAGGGGACCAAATATGGTCTTCTCCTGAAAATGAGGCTATGAGAAATACATTTCTGTTCGTTGCTGAGAATATTTGCTGTAAATATTGTCATTCTACTAATTACTGTTCATGTTTCTCTACCACTGCCCCCAGCACAGCAAAACCATTTAGCACCATCTCGCTCCCCCCCAGTTTATATGTCAAGTCCGACATTCTCAGCTGTGAGCTGGTAATAGCCATCTTAGATATCTGGCCCAATACTTGGCATGTACAATCACCCAACACATGCATGTGGATTGAGCTGCCTCATTATGGAAAATGAATGAATTGATCCCAACAATTTGTGGGAGAATCCCTTCCTTTCCTTCCGAAGTTCATTTCTTCCACTTCACAGGCAGTCTTAGAGCAGCTCTGGAGGAAGACCCAGGAGGGCTGGGAAAAGATGGTGCTTCTCCTCGGGATCTCTGACCTTATTAGTGGACATCTCTGCCTCTTTTTATATAATAAGACTTAAAAATGTATTGGAAAAATGAGATTAAAGTATGAGTTCATTTTGGTGCAAAAAAAAGAGAAACCTACACATTTTTTATAATAGGCATTTTCCATGAATATTTTGAAGACTTCTCATAAAATGGATGCGCTTGGGAGAGGCTCCAACATACGCCACTTCAGATCTGCTAGAAAAACAGTCTAAGCATGTCCCTGAATGACTGATGAGAGGCAGCTTTGGGGATAATGGTATTAGAATTTTACTAACAATTTACAATTTGCAATCCAGAATGTATAGACTGCTGCGTATAAACCATTTTTGAAAAAGAGAACAGTGTGAGAGTTAATTATACATTTGGCTATGAGAACAAGTAGTTTTCCAACTCCTGATATTAAAAATACTACCACAGGGACCAGCAGTTGGTGTAATGGCTATGTCTCTGGACTCCCATGTAGTTGACCACGGGTTGAGTCCTAGACTCGATGGCTTAAACTCACGCTGGGTGCATGTGCATGCATGCCCAAGATCCCGAGGAGAATGGAGGAGAAGGGATTATGGTGTGGCCATCCCCCCTGGAGGGGGGGTTATTTCTCGCTTTTTGTCTCTCTTTCTCTCTCTGTCTTTCTGGTGAGTGCATGTGCCCTACAGAAAAACAACAACAACAACAACAACAACAACAAACTCTTAAAAAAATACTACTACAAATGTGGCAGTATTGACTGAGTACCCAGCTTTGAGGTGTGCTCCACAAGCATTATGATTTACTCATCACAACCATCCTGCGAGGTTGGCACTATTATCTTCTACCTCTTATAGGAAAAAAGCTGAAGTTGAGGGAGTTGAATTCATTTGACAATGATCACAGAGAAGTAAGAGAAATAGTTGGGATAGGAACTTTGGGGGACTTTTTACTTAGCTCCTGGACTTAAAAGTTATCAAGGTGTGTGTGTCCATAGAATCACTGCAGATGTCAGCAACGGATGATGAACCTGTAGTTGAGGCCACATGGGCAGATTTTTGACAGAACAAGGCACAGTAACTACTCTTAAGGAACTGCAGTTGCTGCTGGCTGTGGGTTATCAGAAATGCAACTGATATTGTCAGGGGAATAGGAAATTAGTCTCTCTCTTCCTCAAAAACAGAATTGTAATCATAAACACTCCCTCCCTCTGCCCCTCACATGCCAGAAGGGAAGGTTTGACTAAGGCCATGCTTGTCTTAGCCAGTAGTCTTAGGGACCACTGACTGAGATTTATGACTCTTTAGTAATTGATGGAACCAAGAATGAATGAAAAAAACCCACAGGACTAATCCAGCTGGCTTTCCCAGAAATAGAAGTGTATTTGTGGAATCTGTTTCTGTAATATCTCATTAATTTTTCAATGTTCCAATATACATGGCACTGACTGCAAACTGGGGCATACACTTGTACAAGTTTACTTCATTGAGTAAGCTGTTTCCCAAGCTGTCTCAAGTTATAAATATGGTATTGTAGAGAATCACTATATTAAGATGGCTTTTCTTTTTCTTTTAGAACTCATCAACCGCTGGCAATTAGCAGTTTCACTGCACAAAATGGCACCATTTGGTGTGTTCTATAGCCAATGCTATGGATGGGATGATATCATTTACATTTCACGTGGCATCTGCCTTTATGCAAAGAGAAAGCATAATGAAGAGGCTCTTCAGACATTTCTTACTTTCTTAGCTACAAGAGGCTTAATTAAAACAAAAATGACAATGAATAATACTCACCACTCCTCTCTTGGAGAAAGGCCATTTTGGCTTTTTGGATTCTGGTGAGTGAAATTAAAGAAAATATATTACTTTGAGTAAATGATAACAGATCATTGCAGTGCTTTACAAAACCCACTTTTTGAAAATGAGATGGACATTTCATCCTGCTTTAATTCCCTTTCTTGTAAGAATGCACAGGATAAATATTTATATTTTTTCAGATGAGTGAGTAAAACAATGTTGTAACATAAAGGTTCTATTCTGCCTCAAAGTGATATTGCTCTGTTTCTTTACCAAGGTAATGTTTAACCTCCTCTTCCCTATTACTGGGTGAAATATCAATAAACTATAATGAAGGTGTTAAGTAATTCATTGAAGACAGAATTGTCATCAGGTTGACTATTTTTACATCTTCTCGCTTTGAACTGTCCCACCACAAGCAACTTTAATCTCCTGACCCAACTTCAGACTTGGAGATTGTATGTAACAGGTGTTCTCTAAATGCAGTTAAATGAAGACTCTTGAAACAGATAACACCCACCTTTATGTTGGGATTTATTGTCGCTACTGTCCATCATCTGAAGAGTTCTTAGTCATTGCTTTGAGTTGAAAAGAAAATCATGATTCAATCACTTTTTTTTTTTTTAAAGAGAAATATTTTGCTATAGGAAGTGTGCGATCGCTGGAGAGAGTGAAAGTTAGAAATCATCCTCCCAAGGAGGATAGCTACGATGCAATCCCTTCTCCTCCATTCTTCTCTCGGGATTTTGGGCATACACCCACACGTGCCTGGTGTGAATTTTAAGCCGCTGGGTCTGGGACTTCAACTGCGGTACACTACATGGTGGTCCAGCAACGTAACCATTACGCCATCTACTGGTCCCATCAATCACACATTTTTTTTTTTTTAATGAGCAGGAAGTAAACAGATTAGATTCTGGGCTCCCGATTTTTTATGTTGCTTGTGTCAGTTTGAAATACTATCCAGAAAAACACGGGAATTGTTCTTTAGGTTTAGGTAGGATGTCTGAAACCCAATATACAAAATGGATGTCTTATAGGTCTATCTCTCTCTGTCTCTATCAGATTCACCAGGAGAGTCTGCTTAATACTTTAATCTGATGGAAGCAATTACCTGAGCTGCATTTACTGCAAAGGATGTGCTTGAGGCACTTTTCCACTGTAACCTTGGAAGGCACCTGCCCAACTAATTATCCTCTCACTCATTCTGACCACTTTATTGATCTTTATAAAGGGGAGATTAGGTGGAATATCGCTGGGGGACAAATTGACTTCAACACATTTGGCTCTCAAATACTTGATGATAAATTATTATATCCATTTTGAACTGCAATAATTAAGGTGCTTGGTCCTTGGCAAATTTCTCTCCTTTATTTTTCTAACTTTGAGGATGATTTTGGAGCCTTGGCAAAGTTTCAGAAGTATGCAGCAGAGGATTTAAATGAGTCTTTATTGCATTCACAATATTTCATTATTGATCAGCCTTAAATATGAGATGTTGCTGAGTAAGACTCTATCTCTATATTAATAATATCTGCAGGTGCCTAATATGCACATCAAAGCTTGAGAAGCATGGATTTAGACTACAAACTTGGAGCATGAGATCTCTATTCTTAACCCCTTGAGAAGAGGGCATGGAGGGGTTTGGTAGAGGACACTGCTTGTCTTTAATTCTATGGCATATATCACAATGCTAAACACACAACTGAACAAACTCTAGTGTGATACTGAAATACCATACAGCAATTATGAGCTTGCTCCTTAGCATGATGATTCTCAGACTTTAGTTAGCATCAATATCACCTGCAAGTGTAAATGCTGGACAGCAGCTCCAGACCTCAAAATCAGCATTTTTGACAATTTCTCTTGTGATGCTGAAGGTGCTGGTATGGAACTAGCCCTTGGGATTCACTGCTGTAGTTGTTAACTGGTTTGAAGCATCATGAAATGTGTACTGATCTCTGGGAAGGTTATGTTGTGTTCAGAACTAGGTTTTATTTCTAGAGGCATGTTCTGAAGCAGATCACTTGAACTCTCTTGGTTTGTTCATTTAGGTCGTCATCTTATATGACAATAGATGTGATTGATTGGGATCGGTAAAGAAAGAAGATCTACAAAAATGTTCCCTATTCTTTTTTTTAAAGGTTTTTCTTTTGAGAGTTTTTTTTTTTTGCTTTTGTTTGTTTGCTTGCTTGTTTTTTTTTTTTTTTTTGTTTTGTTTTTTTTTTTGAGAGAGAGATTTTTGCCATAGGGTGCATGCACTAGCTGGAGAGACAAAGAGACAGAAAGTGAGAAATCACATACACACACCTTCCCCCCTGCTCCAGGAGAGATGGCCACACTGCAATTCTTTCTCCTCCACTCTCCTCTAGGGATTTTGGGTACACATGCATATGCACCCAATGTGAGTTTCAAGCCCCCAGGTCTGGGACTCAAACCATGGTCAGCCATGTGGGAGTCCAACACTTCAACCATTACGCCACCTACTGGCCCCATTATTCCTTTTTTTTTTTTAGGGAGAGAGGTTTTCCCTATAGGGCGCGTGCGCTCGCCAGACAGACAGAGACAGAGAGACAGAAAGCGAGATATCACCCCCAGGGGGGATGGCCATGCCGCAATCCCCTCTCCTCCACTCTCCTCTTGGGATCTTGGGCACGCACGCACACGCGTCCAGCATTTTAAGCCACCAGGGCCAGGACACGAACCGTGGTCGACTCCGTGGGAGCCCAGCGACTTAGCCATTATGCTAACTGCTGGTCCCTGGCCTCATTATTCTTATTCTCTTATTCTTTATTCCTTGTGGTCTCTGAACCCCTATAGCTGCCCATACAGTGGGTGATCCATGCAGACCAGTGGAGACTGCATGAGACCTTGAATCCTTTCCTCTGACACTAAAGCAGTTGACATGGTGACTATGTCACTTCTCCTTTCTGATATAACTTTGCATATATATGAATAATAAATGAGTTTTGTAGTTTTTAGATTGTTTTGTCTGAGATTTCTGGGAATACTTTGGGGGTGAGTTTTTGAGACTCATTCCAATTTCAAGCATTGCAACTTTACTTGGATCTGGCTTATACATTGGATTTCCAGGTAAGGATTCTTTTATAAAAAGGGCGATGCTAAGAACAAAACAAAAAGTTTTAAAAATACTACGAATGCAGATAATCTTTAGGTGTCCTTTTGTCTCTCAAAGGCTTTGATTTATCTACCCTCAGAATCATGAGGGAGCATTCGAAACATCATAATTCTTTTTACAACTGAGACAAAAATGCAAAAGACTCACCCTAAGGCTGCTTCTTTCTTTCTTTTTTTGAAGGGGGGTATTTTTGCTATACGGGGTGCATGTGTGTGCCCAGAGACAGAGAGAGATGGAGGGACAGAAAGGGAGAAATCACTACCCTCCTAGGGGGGAGGGTCGTGACCATGCTGCAGTCCCTTCTCCTCGGTTTCGCCTCTTGGAATTTTGGGCATGCATGCACACATGCCCAGTGCGAGTTTAAACTGCCATGTCCAGGACTCAAACTGCAGTTAACTCTTTCTATCAGTCTAACCTGGCACCTGTACCGCTGTCCCCACATGGTGCCATCCTGGTTAGAAGATACCAAGGTGAGGCTGAAGGCCAGGAATAGGGTGAGAGATAAGCCTTACAGCAGTGACAGGGAAGCCATCTACTAGCCCAAAGCAGGCACTGCGCACCGAGATGGAACATCTGTCCCAGATTCTGGAGCTGGGATACAATTCTTTGACAAGAGGACATTCTGAGGGAAGACTCATGTGTTATGCATCTCTCTAAACTGAATGCCCAAGACCAAGACTGATACTCAGTTGGGTCCAGTAATTCACAGCTGGAGTCTGTTTTAATGGTGAGACTTCTGTTCAGACTGCCAGTGCACGTGTTCTACGAGTTATTAAATACTTCGAAAATTGTCCCTGCATAGGACAACATCTGTCCTGTATCAGGCATGTAACAAAAGAGTGAACAGGACCTGAGTTCAGCAGTAGAAGTGGATGACACAGGTAATCTGCAGCTCCATCTGACACCAGAAGGTCCCCGGGGAACACTTCAAGTCCGGGTAAGTTCAGCACCACAGAACTCCGTCTGTGCTCGTAGAACCTGTGCTCAAGGAATGAAAAGAGAGAGCTTAGAGCTGGGAGCAGGCAGGTTCCTAGTTGTGCTAGCTGCCTGACACCTGCTATCCTAGGAAGGACTCAGCGGCCACTCCTGGCTCCAAGCATGAAGGCTGTTATGCCACCCAAAACATTTACTCATCATCTTTTGAGCCTTACTGACAATTTCTAATTTTGACTCATCTGAAGCAGAGAGTTCACTTAGAAACATCAACACAAACACGTCACACTTGCTCTGATTTAGAAAGATAGCAGGAGAAAGGTCTAAAACACAGAAGTCTTTGCAAATTATCCACACTGACTACCTCAGGGCTGCGTAGGATGCCTGGGGTGGCCACCTGCACCCTAATGAGGCAAAGCTGGCTGTTTAGAGTTGGCACTTTTATTTTTTCCCAGTGAAAAATGAGAAATACTGTTGGAAAAGCTGAGTGAATAGGACTAGTGATATTCAGAAGGTATTATATAATATTATATAATGTTAAAAGCCCATAAAAAAGAAGACCCCTGAAGCTTCCCTATCAACTTGATACTATATACTTTATACTGAATACTAGATGCGTATAATGAGATTTTATATTTGTGGGGAAAGAGGATGCTGAATTGGGTGAGGATTGGAAAAACTACAGGGATATAACCTGTGTGATTTCTGGGGTTGTGAGAATGTACCCTTTTGAGCTTGAACTGTACATGTTATGCATTCTGCTATCATGAATTTAGTAGTTTTCTAAGATCTTAAAAACTGTTTTTATATTCTCTGGAGACCTCAGAGAGTATTGGTGGGTTGAAAGTTCTAACCTCTACCAGCCTCTTCTAGACTGGCTCATGTGTTCCTTTTCTATGCATAGAAACTATAGTCTTCTAGAGTGAAGGTTAAGAATATGAGGTCTGGCCAGCCAGGAGGGTGTAGTGATAATGTAATACTTCCTGATGCTGAAGCCACATGAGAAGGTCTTGGGTTTGTGTCCTGATATTTCCCCATATAGGCCAGGTACTCACATGCCTGTGATCCTGACTGGCTAAGGCTGGGGGAGTTTGAAGCCTCTGTTATTGAGAGTACTTGTCTCTCTTTTTCTCTCTCTCCACCTCTCCCATGGAAGAAGTAAATAAATAAACAAAAAATGTGGAGTCAAATTGCCTGGATTTTATTCTTAGCTGTGTGACTCTGCCTGAGTGAGTTACATAACCTCTCTTGTCCTTATTTTTGCCATTTTTGAAATATAAGCAATTATAATATTGTGTGAGAATGGACTAAGTTAATATAGAGCACTTAGATCAGTGCTGGAACTGTGTAAGCAGATGCATAAAGAAAACATAAGACTATAATATATTCAACAATAGACATTATAACATACATTACAGTCTTATGTTCTCTTTATGCATCTATTTATTCCAGACCGCCAACTCCTCAAGTGCAAAAACATGTCTTATCATCATTCATGTTGTAGGTGCTCATTTAGAGCTCAGCCCTCTGTTATCATGAGCATGAATGAATGAAATGATCCTAATGATCCTCGGGAGCCAGCAGGTGGCATGGAGGTTAAGGCAGCTGGAACTTGTATGACCAACTGTGCTTTAATTCCCAGATTCAGTGGCTTGAAAATCATGCTGGGAGCATGTGTGTGCATGCCCAAAATCCTAAGAGAAGAATGAAAGACAGGAGATTGCGATGTGGCCATTCTCACGGAGGGTAATTTCTCACTCTCCCTCTCTCTCTCCGGCAAGTGCACATGCCTTATAACAAAAAACTAAAAAAGAAATTATCCTCTGACATTGTCCTCTCATGGGAAGTGTCTCACTTTATATGGTCATTTTGTAGATACATGTTGCATTTCCCCTATTACCCTAAGCTCCTAGCTCCTCATCTAAATCCCTCTGTTAGTAAGGACTCAGGAAACATTTGTTAAGTAAATGGAACAATAACCAAACCCGCATATATTCAGACTGATCATTGTCATTTCCTGACAACGTGTACAGACAGTGCACTCCAGCAATAACTGCCTCCTGTTCTTTAAACATACTCGGCACAGCATGCTTCCATGGCATGACTCAGGTGGTTCCTACCTGCCTGCCTATCTCTACTTTGTCTGGCTGCTGAACTCATGCTCATCTCTAAGTTCCAGCTTAGCCATTCTTTCTCTAGACATCTATTCTCTACTCAGCGAGACTGAACTCTCTCTCTCTCCCTCCCTCCCCAACCCCAACCTAATTTCTCTATAGTGGTTTCATTGAAGGCTCATCCGGTGTCCTATATGTCCCAGAATTTGTTCACTAATCACAGAACCTGACATAGAACAGGTATTCAAACAAACATGTTGAATAAATAGACATACTGACCTATAGAATAATACTGACAATCTTCAAATTTTTTTTTCTATTCTGAATTATAAATAAGAACAATTATATGCATAAACAAAAGCAAAATGCAATTTGAGTCCTTACTCTCTCCCCATCTCTGCCCCAGTAAAGGTGGCTACCTTATCCTTACTCATTTCTTCCTTGCTTGGAAGGAAGGTACCTTTTGACATAAGGTATCCATTGGGAGCACACAGGTCAGGTTTAGAGTTGAATTTGCACATATGGAGCAGAGGGAAGACAACTGGCTTGCATAGGGCTTAAACCATGACCTTGGCTTTTTGCCTTGATGTCCGAAACTTAGTGATGCTCATTCTAAAAAAAGGAGGTATGCCCCTGTAAGAGCATAACAGTATCCCTGTGGACATAATTTGTTGTTGTTGTTGTTCTTTAAAAAGAGAACATGGGTTAATAAAAATATCAAGAACCACAGTTGTAACCACACAAAGGTCTAGGAAAGCAATAAGAAAGAACATCTGCGGGACCAGCAGACAGCATAATGGTTATGTTTTGGTACTCCTTGCAGAGTTGACCATGTTTGACGTCCTGGACCCAGTGCCTTAAAACTCAAGCTGGGTGTGTGTGTGCATGTGTGCCCAAGATCCCGAGAGGAGAATGGCCATCCTCTCCTGGGGGTGGTGATTTCTCGCTTTCTGTCTCTCTGCCTCTCCAGCCAGCACACACACCCGAAAACAAATCTCTCTCTCTCTCTCTCTCTATATATATATATATAAAAGAAAAAGAAAAGAAAAGAAAAGAAAAGAACATCTATATCTAGGAACATTCACATACATGGATGAGGGCAGAAAATGTATGCTTATATCACCCATGCCTGGCAGTACACTAGATTTCTGGGCACTCTGAAAAGGATTCTGATTACTGGATTAATGACATTAACACAAATAGGAGTAATGAGTTCAGCAAGACTTTGAATTTAGGTCTCATAATGGGGAGAGGGGATATGTGTTAGTGGTTTCAAATTGGTATCTTGTTTTGACTAGTCCAGATATGAGGACTGGTTCTTAAAAAACGTGGCATGCATGTGAGATTACTGTGTCCAGTTGTGAAATGATTATCCACTGGAAGCAATCATGTAATGAATTCGGAATTCTTACTTCCCACCCTCCAACAAATGGTATCTGTGTGGGTTACAGTATCCTGTGTGAAGAGGGCAAGGAAGAATATTTTTAGGTATCTGAGTTCCTCATAGGGAGATTAAGCTAGTAAAAGAACTAATAATAAATGCAAAGCATTTGGGGTGTGACTGGCAACCTATTGTCACGGAGTAAGCACAATATGATTTGATGCTGCCTTCATACTTCTGGAAAGAAAAACTACCACCATACTTGAGAAATGCTTTTTGCTTGTTTTCTGCTTAGCTATGCAGGTTCTTTGCTTTAGGACAAAATCTGGACTCAGGACATGGTAAAACTAGATGCCTGACCCAGACATTTTAGCCTCCTAGGGTTTCATACCCCTCCTCAATTCTGCCGCCACCCCACTCCCATTCTGAAACCCAAATATAGCTCCATTTTCACTAACCCTGAGTTGTGTTGCTCCAAGCTGGTCAAATCCGAAGGGACAAGTCCCATGGTTGCTGGCTGGATAATCTTGTCTCCTTCCTGGTACCAGAATGTGTGCTTATTCTGTCCTCTGCTGAAGAACCCAAGATCCATGGTGTGGGCTGAGGCAGCAACGATTCAGAGAATCCAGGGAATTCTCCCCCCCTCCCCCCACTGCTGAGCAGGCCATGAGCCCCTGTGTCAACACTCAACAATGAGGCTGCTTTTTACGTTAGTACCAGAAAAGTTTCTGGTTGCTGAAAATGTGCTTCCCAGTGAGCCTCAGATGCATGCATTTTATAAGCGGTAGACTGGTTTTGGTGAATATTATTCTAATTTAAAATCAGTCTTTATTTAATGAGACTAGATTCTTTCTAGATGCTCTGTGAAGTGCTTTTCCTGTGCATCATATTGATTTTCACACATGTCCTATGAAGTGGAAATTGCTGTTCTTATTTTAAACCAGAGAAAATTGAGGCCTAGTGGAATGAATGAGAAACTCACCTAAGGTCACATGGTTTCAGTGAATGAGGGAGCCAGAATTCAGAATTCCAATATTCAGACTTGACTCCAGAAAGACTTAGAAATAGGAAAAAGAGAAAAAGATACTACTGACCACTTGAAAGCACAGAGAGATTTTAACAAATGGATAGAATATAATGATGATTACTATTGTAGGTGAAGGAGAAAGGGTAATACATTGAATAGTGGCCTCTTAAAAGAGGTATGTTCGCATCTTAACTCCTAGAACATGCGAACATGACCTTATTTGTAAAAAGGATCTTTGAAGATGCAATTTAATTAAGGATATTGAGATACGATTATTCTAGATTTTCTGGGTGGATTTTGAATCCAGTGACAAGTGTCCTTGTAAGAAGGCCACAGAGAAGACAGAGAAGGAATGGCATGTGAAGAAGAAGAAGGCAGATTAAAATGACGAAGTTGTTTTGCTAGCTCAACAGTTACTGACAGGGCATTTCTTGTTCTCAGCAATGTATTGAGTGCTATGGAGGATGAAAAAGAATAAAATGTCAAGGCATGAGTCTGTCTGAGTCATTTCACCTCTCCCAGGTTTTGAGAATGCAATGCTAGCAAGTATTCAAAGTTTATTAAATTAATCTACCTAAGGGGGAAAATGATGTAGCCACAGCCAAGGAACACTGGATGAAGAAACAAGAAGTGGTCTCCTAAAGCCTTCAGAGGGAGTGTGGCTTTGGCCATAGTGTGATTTCAGACTCTGGCTTCCAGAACTGGGAAAGGACAAACGTTTGTTGTTTGAAGTCACCTGGCTTGTGGCAATTTATTATCAAAGTCACAGAAAATGAATCCTGGGTGGGGGCAGTAATACAATTGAGTGGCAAGGACACTTGACTTAAGATCCAAATTCCCAACTGTGACCTTTGTTACATGTGACCTTGGCATGTTGCTCCTCTGGGCCTCTGTCTCTTTATGTGGAAAACCAGTGAGTGAGACCCTTATCATCCCTCAGATCCTTTTCCACCCCTAGGATCATGACTGAGGATTCAGGAGCTTTGCTTGTATCTTCTGTTAAGTGGTTGATGGGCAGGGCAGTAATTATGTGGGAACCTTCATCTCAGCAAAAGGGTTTGAAGACAAATAATGCAAAGTTTCTCCTTTAGAAATATAACTATAATATAATAGATCATATACATTTTTTAAAAAAGTCCTTCTATACTATGGACTTAAATCAGACTATTGGCTTTTATTTCTCAGGTATAAATTTTAAGGGAAAATCATGAAAAATGCTAGAGAATATAGGAGAAGGGACAGCACTGCCTTAAAGTGATATGTATGTCTTACAGAATAAGGGTCTTAATGAAGGCACTACAATTTAGATAGGCCCAGTTTTATCTCTTTTTCTTTTTATGAATATTACCTACTGGGATTTTTTTTCTTTTTAATCAGGCAGGGTTTATCAGGCCCTTTTTCTAGAAACTATAGGCCTTGTCTAATAGTGAACATTCATGGTAGAGGTAGTAGTCTTTTTCAGCTGGTGACTTTTCAGCACTTGTGTGGCTAGAAAAAATAGTAAGGATCATAGGGTTTCACCTCATGTAAAAAACAGTGCAGTGCAATTTGAAATTCTTGCTTACAAATATGGGTTGATTATATAGGATGAGCAAATAAAGAATCACTAACTTTATTTTAATTTTTGTTTTTTTTTAGAGGAGAATGGAGGAGAAGGGATTGTGGCATGGCCATCCCTCTTGTGGGAGGTGATGGGTGATTTCTCGCTTTCTGTCTCTCTGTATTTCTGGCAAGCACGAGTACCCTATAGCAAAAATCCCTCTTTAAAAATAATAATCAACTGAGAAATAACAACCCTACTGCCAGTTATTGAACTATAGATCTCTTGACAAAATCTGGGATCTATTTTTCCATTATGAATCTCAGAAGATTGTTGGGAAACATTCTTTTGCATATTTGTCTGAAGTTTTTGGTTCAACATTTTGTTGTTCTTGCCATAGGGCACATGTGCTCACAGGACAGAGAGACATAGAGAGAGAAGGAAAGTGAGAAATTATCCAGTGTGAGGATGGCCACACCACTATCCCTTTCCTCTATTCTCCTCTTAGGACTCTAGGCATGCATGCACATGCACCCAGTGTGATATTCAAGCTGCCAACTCTGGGACATGTTGGGCATGTGGGACTTTTGTGCCTTAACTCCCATCCTACTGGCTGGCCTGTAGTTTGACTTTCTTTATTCCATTTTTATTTTAAGAGAGATTTTTGCTATAGGGTATGTGTGCTTGCCGGTGAGACAGAAAGAGATAGAGAGACAAAAAGAGAAAAATCATTTCCCCCCCAAGGGGTGATGGCCTAACTGCAATCCCTTCTCCATTCTTCTCTTGGTATTTGGGGCATGCTCACACTTGCGCCCAGCTTGGGCCGTGATTGGCCATGTGGGAGTCCAGTGCTGTAACCATTACACTGTCTGCTGGTTTCCCCAGTTCAACTTTCTATCAAAGTGTTCTATTTGCTGGAAATCCAAAAGAAAGGTAAAAAAGATGAGGAGTTTCTATTTTATTGCCTAGAACCTGGTACGTGGTAGCTAATTCAGTGATGGACTGAACACATGAAATATGCATCCCTAATATGTAATTTTGAACATAAAATAGAGATATCTCTTGTGAAGTATACCTCTCCTGGGACTTACATTCTAGAGGAGTGAGTGGAAGAACAGTGGTTCACCTGCAGCCATGCCCAGGTCAGGAAGACTCCCGAGGCTGCTGTCTTTTATGTAGAGTAATTAACAATATCCTCTCTCTTAGTCTCTAGTTAATATCTTTCCAACAAGCTTTTAAACTGCACGAGAGCTGGGATAGTCTTATATTTAATTTCCCAGAGTTCATAGATAGTGCTAGGTACATAACAAGGATTTAAATAAAGTCTGTGAAAGGTCAATACTATAATTTGTATTGAACCTAACATGCACACATCAGATGAGCTTTCTGTGATCGATCATTTAACTGTGGGGTCAGAATATTTTAGAAAGACTAAGTCAATAACTTGCCTAAGGGAAGTGCTGAATGAATGAATAGTTCATATAATAATAAATAGTTCATAATTTGAGACTCTGGTGGAATACGGTCTCTTTCTCACTCATGGAATAAATAAATAAACTTTACAATCCACTTTTTTTTTAAGGCTTATGAAATGGTTATTGTTTGTATCTCCATTTCATAGATGAAGACTTTCAACTGTTGAACTGTTAAGAAAATTGCCCAAGATCATGTTGCCAGAGAGAAGTGGGTACAGTATTCAGACTTGGACATTTCCACTCTAGTAGATTTTTAACTCCATATTATGCTGCCCCCTAATGGTAACCTCAGATGATTATGACTTTGGGGGAAGTTTCACCGGCACCAATATTTCTGACTAGTTTCTTCCCCAAGATAGACTTTAAAATATCTTGTCATTTGATTCAGGCAAATGTTGCGTCCCTTGCTAATTTGGATATTTTTTTTTTTTCCCTTTTCCTTTTGAGCAATGAAAGCTTAGCCTTTATTCTCATAGAAATGTAGTATGTGTTTCCTTTCTCTTGTTTGCTTATTTACTTTTTTAAGAGAGTTTTTTGCTACGGGGCGCATGTGCTTGCTAGAGAGACAGAGAGAGGCAGAGATACAGAAAGCGAGAAATCACTCCCCCAGGGGGGAATGGCCATCACGCAATCCCTTCTTCATTCTCCTTTTGGGATTTTGAGCACGCACATGTATGTGCCCAGTGTGAGTTTTGAGCTACTGGGTCCAGGACTCAAATTTCAGTCAACTCTGTGGGAGTCCAGTGACATAACCACTATGCAATCTGCTGGTCCCTTTCTCTCCTTTAGGTCTGACCTGATGATAAGGTGAGACAGACAGCTTTCTGTGAATATAGAATTTAAGGGGTGTCAGGAAGGTGTTCCTAACTACAAAATAGCCTTCATTTGCTTCCTGATGTTTAACATCCCACCAGGCCAGTTTCACTGTTTGGCATCAAATCATGTCCTTTGTTAAAATGCAAATACACAGAGGAGATATGGGTGACACTGCAATCCATCCAACAGCCAGCCGCCTGCCTCTTCCATCTGCTAAACATCTTTTCCCCTCAGTAAATATTTTTAGAGGTAGATTCCAGCTTGGAACTGTGTGTTGGAGGTTCACAGATAAAAACATGTTCTCTGCCTTCAGAAAGGTTTTGATTTTCAATGTAAAAGAAACACAATACAATGTGGTAGGTGATATGATGTGAACATTTATAAGGTGCAGGGTACCAAAAGATGAAAGTACTGGCTCTCTCTGGAAAGATGAGAGTATATATTCCTTAAAGCCTAAAGTCATTTTCACTTCAGGAAAGGTGAATTATAAAGATTCTTTTCCAGGGGATATATTTTGGTGATAAGAGCTGGAGTGAGTGAACATGAGTTCATGAGAATATTATAGAGGAAGTGAGAAGATGACAGTGAAAAGAGTTCACAAAGAAAAACCTGGAAGCATATCAGTTAGCTGATTTCAGAACTAAGAGTATATTGAGCCCTTTTCACCTACACGATATGGCCAATTCTCAGGCCATGCGTTAAAGCACTATAATAAAAAGAAAAAGAACCAGCATTTTTGTAAAAGTCTTTATATCTGTTCTGCAAGGGAAAAAAGGATTGCTGTGATTGACAGCCAAGGAGCAAGCATTTCTTAATTGCATATACCAGACATCAGCAACATTTTCTATAAATGGTCAGAGAAAAAATAGTTTAGGTTCTGTGAGCCATATGGTCTTTATTATGACTACTCAGTTCGGATTTGTAGCGTGAAAGTAGCCAGAGATAATGTAAAAATGAATGGGTGTGAGTCTATTCCACTAAAGCTTTATTTGCAGAAACAGGTGGTGGGTTGAATTTGGCCACAGGCCATTGTTTGCTAGCCCTCGGTTTATACCATTTAATAGGCATAATGTTTTTGAGGTGAGAGCCCTAACAACTGGATGGACAGCAGGGCCTCATGTGAGATTTTTTTTCCTGACAGTACCATACAGCCTGGTAAGTAGCTATTCAAAGGGAATAGGCCCTTTGAACAAATAGCTGCTGTGGAAAGACTGCAGAGACATGAGGCATAAGAGAGGGAGGAGGCAAAGAGAAACAGGATTTATCTGTTTATTTACATCTTATTTATTAATATTAACAGTAATGTAAGCATATCTACTTAAAATACTAGCTCATATATTATTAGTTCATAGATTCATTGTATCTCTCAATTATTCATTCAACAAACATTACCTATTGCATGCCAAATATTGAGCTAGGTCCTGGAGAAGCAATATAGAATAAGTCAGGGTCATCACTAGATATAAGATATCAAAATTACCTCCTCTCTAATGCCCTATTGAGACTTTCTGTAATTTTAACTATTTTTTTTTTTTGGAGAGATATTTTTTGCTATAGAGAGTGTGTGCTCACTAGAAAGACAGAGAGAGACAGAGAGAGAGTGAGAAATCACCCCCCAGGGGGATGGGCATGCCACAATCCCTTCTCCTCCAATCTCCTCTCAGGATCTTGTGCACACACGCATGTGTGCCTGGCGTGAGTTTAAGCCACTGGGTCTGGGACTCAAACTGCGGTCGACTACATGGGAGTCCAGTGATATAGCCATTACGCCAACTGCTGGTCCCAATCTTTAACTATTTTATAGTATGTGATCATAACATATCAAACTCCACAGTTTTCTAAAGCCTAAACCCTTTTTACTAAGTGGTTTGTTCAAATTTACCAAGGGGCTGGCCCAGTAGCACAGCCCTAGTGTTGTGCATATGCAGTAGGATCCCATAGAGCTGAAAGTGGTTGGAATCTCAGCCCTGTCAGGTGGCTTGAAAATGTACTGAGTGCATACATATCCCAAATCCTGAAGGGATGAAGAAATGGAAAAGAAAGGATTGTGGTATGACCATGCCCCACTGAGGGACAGGGATGTTTTCTCTCTCTCTAGAGAGAGTGTACATGCTCTGTGACAATAATAAGCAAACAAGCAAACTAAGAATATTTTTGATATTTCTCACAAAGATTCCACATGCCATGAAAACTGCTTTTTGCAAATGGTCTAATGCATCCCATCTCTTAGTCCTTATGTCTTCTAGCTTCATCTAATAATCCAAGCTGGACCTAGACTTTACCTCCTCTAGGAAACATTCTTTGATTAAAGACTCATCAGTCTAGAAAAGGATATAGATATAGATATTTGTAAGTCAGATTTAAGTCAAGACTTAGACTCCACTCAATCCCCCTTCTTTTTATTCCTCCAAATTTATCTAGACCAATAAATGGAAATGTGGTCACCCAGTTATGCAAGCCAGAAGCTTGGAGGTCATTCTCACCCACTTCCTTTTTCTCAGCCCTATGGTCTACCATCCACAAAGCCTAGGTGATTGTATCTGCGAAATGTCCCTGTACTGAGACTTCTTTTAAACTCCACTGCCCTCATCATAGTCTAACCTACCAAATTATCCTACCTGAACATTCTAATTGTCTGCTCAAGTTTATTCTCATTTAAAACCCATATCTATCCTATATCTTCTTGATCATATCAACTTAATCACTTATTTCATACTACCTTTATGACAAGGAACAAAATTTCTATACTTTTTATTAGATTCTGCATGATCTGACACTAATTAATGTCATGGTCATTCTCTGGACTAAGCTCTTTTTCCCTTCTCTGACACATTTGAATTAGATATCATCTTAGAGCTTTAATCTGTTTTGAACCTATGGAAAATTTATATGAATGGTTCTGCTCTTCACCAATCCTTGTATCTACTCTTTGTCACATAGTACTTCAAGGTTCTCCCACTGTGAGTGAGGTATAATTCCCTGACCTTCAGTCAAATGACTTGCTTTAGTCAATAAAATTATACGAGATACAGAGCTCAGGCTCCAAGTGGCCTCGGGTGTTTCTACTTGTCCTCTTGAACCTATCCCTTCTCTGTAAGGAGAACATGCCCAGGTAGTGAAGCAATTTGTTTTCATTAAAAAGATGAAGGACATCTGGGTGGCAGAACTACCCAGGTGAGTCCTGCCTAGATCAACTGACTCCCCAAGGGGATAGGAGTATATATATATATATGTGTGTGTATGTGTATGTATATATATATTTATTAAATAGTGTATGTATTTATATGTGTATATATGTATATGTGTGTGTATATATAGGAAAAATGTAATAAAAATAACAATTAGAACTTCACACTTAAAGGTCTAAAGAGACAGGAGCATGTTACATGATAATATACCATAAATTCTAGAAAGTAATTATTGAAATGTAATGTTAAAGAAACTGCGTGTCTAAACCACAGATCACAAGACTGCCTATTTAGATTTGCACATGAATTATTTGTCCAATTAAAAACATAGGTAAAATGAGGGTAAACAAAAAGTAACCTAACTACATTCTCTGAGTCTCCTTCCTGTGGTACTGCCTGCTCCTTCTCCTCTCCCTGCCTGGATTCTCACACTAGGACCCAACCTAGGGTTTAGGCCTCTCCTCTTTCCCAATGCACCATCTAGGTCAGAAGTCAGCCAGCTACTGCCCACAGGTCAAATCCAGCTCACTAATTATACCTTTAGAAACATTTATTAGACACCAGGAGGCCCATTTGCTTAATATTTGTCTACAGCTACTTTTACAATACCAGGTCACAGTTGAGTAGTTGCAACAAAGAACAAATCGTGTCTCTGACTCTTCACTGAAAAAAAATTGCCCGTCTCTGACCGGGGATTTCACTCAGATCTACAGCTTTAAATACTATCAATATCCTGGCAACTCTCAAAATTCTATCTTCAGTCCTGACTCAGACTTGCAATGGCATCTTGTCAAGCTACAGCTATGCTTGGTATTCTAATAAATATATAAGTGTCTAAAATGGAAACTTTTATTTCCACCACCTACACCTGTGCCTCTGGTATCACAATACACACAGTTCTGTTCATACAAGTGCTTAGGCCAAAATCTTTTTAATCTTCCTGGACTCCTATGTCTTATACACAATATCCTAGCCATGAAAAAATTACATCCTCAAAATATATCCAAATTCTGGCCACTTCTTACTCCAATGCTACCACTCTAATTGAGGCCACAACCATTTCACCTGGACCATCCTTCCTAGATCTTAGTTTCTACTCTGAGCCCCTTCCACTCCATGTTTACAGTACACCTAGGGTGATCATGGAATCCCACTGCTGAAAATCTCTTAAAAGCCACGCAGCATGTGGCCCCTCGCTATGTCCTACTCTTCTCCCTCCTGATGACCCTGGTTTCTCCACACGTGAGCTTTTCCTGATGTCATGCATGGCCCTGCCATGGATCCTTTACTTGCTGTCCTGTCTGGAAAATTCTTCCCCCAGATATTTTGTTGGCTCACTTTCTCATTTTATTAATGTCTATGCTCAACGATTACTTCAAACTAGAAGCTTCTTTAATTACTGTCTCTACAGAGGTGACAGGAGTCACTAATGCATCTATTATAGTTGCATTTTCAAATTCTATAACTCTGAAATTTGCATGCATTTGGGACACTGCTTTCAAGAACCATCTCTGGAAGGCAGTGAAGAAAACAGCACAGGCAGGAGGAGAACTGAACTGCAATAAAGTTGTAAAAGAGGCTTTGGCCACAAAAGCCTCTGTATTAGAAACACTTCAAATAATTTATAAATATATATAAACTTTATAAATTTATGAACAATATATCTTATATAATAAATACATTATAAGTATATATTAAATACATAAATATATAAAAATATATATTTTAAGTATATATTATATACATTTTTAACAGGAAACAGTAACTAGCTGTTACTTTAAGTGCTTCGGTAGTAAATACATAAATATATAAAAATATATATTTTAAGTATATATTATATACATTTTTAACAGGAAACAGTAACTAGCTGTTACTTTAAGTGCTTCGGTAGTCTGTTAATGTAGCAATGGCTAACTCATCCCCTAACCCAATAATTTACATTTTCCTGTGGCTTTGTAAATTTCTTCTACCTTTGTTCGTACATTAGGCCAACTAGGATTAAAATCAATGCAAAATGCATAGATGGGTACTATCTTTACTGCTATGCACAGTGCTGTTACTTGAGGATCAAGTTCTTGACTACTTCCTCACGGATTCATCGATGACTTTCCAAATGAAAAAAGGGCTTTCCTACTACACAAATGAGGTATATAAACTTAGGCATGGGACCCAGAAGCGCCTCATCCCTGGGAAGGATGGATAGTCTGCTGCCGATACCTGGGGGGCTACATTGAACGTAGAGAGCTGGCAGAGAGCTGGTTTCTGAAATGACACGATCAGCTTGTGTTCTAGGTAAGGGCACAGTCTTTCATAATAGGCATTTTAGAGGTTGTCCTAGATTTTAGCAGAACATTTTGTTCCTTTTATCTTTGTCCTCTAAGTTCCTCTTTGAAAGGCTATTCAATGTTTCTGGCCTTTCCATTTTCTTTACCAGACAAAACTTATGTGGATGTTAATTAAGCCACAGGACCAAATCACTAACAATTCAAAATGAAAATTATGACTGCATGCGGCTGTCATACTCTGCCCTCAAAAGTCACCATAAAATGCTGTGCTCTTAAAAAGACTTGAAATTAAGCCTCTCCCCGTAAATGTGAAGAGTGACTTGGATTCTGTAGAAAAAAGTATGCTAGTCAATACACCACTCAGTTGGCTACATCAAAACAGAAATAGAGGGAACCAGCAGTTAGCATAATGGCTATGTTGCTGGACTCCCACGTAGTCGACCACGGTTCGCGTCCTGGACCCGGTGGCTTAAACTCACGCCGGGCGTTTGTGCATGTGTGCCCAAAATCCCGAGAGGAGAATGGAGGAGAAGGGATTGCAGCATGACCATCCCCCCTGGGTGCTGTCTCTCTGTCTCTCTCTGTCTGTCTGGCAAGTGCACACGCCCTATAGCGAAAAACCTCTCAAAAAAAAAAAAAAAGAAATAGAGAGATAAAAGTAAACAGTCAACAAATACGATAGCACTAGAGAAAATAAACGTACACACACCTGGACTGATGCAATTCTTCTCCCTGAAAAATTGAAAGAAAAAAAATCATGTTTTAGTTATGCTCAAAACCCACCCAAAATTTCAGACACCTTGAAAACAGAAACAACTATCCTAAAATTTTTTTTTTTTTTTTTGAGAGATTTTCACTGTAGGGCGCGTGCGCTCGCCAGACAGACAGAGAGAGACATAGAGACAGAAAGCGAGAAATCACCCCCCAGGGGGGATGGTCACGCCGCAATCCCTTCTCCTCCATTCTCCTCTCGGGATCTTGGGCACACACGCACACGCGCCCGGCGTGAGTTTTAAGCCACTGGGTCCGGGACACGAACCGCGGTCGACTACGTGGGAGTCCAGCGACATAGCCATTACGCTAACTGCTGGTTCCCCTAAAATATTTTGAAAGAGAAAAAAGATAAAGAAAAATTGGAGAGAGGCAGGATGGAGGGAATTGGAAATGAATAATTGGATCTTTCTCCACTTTTTTTTTTTTAACGTTTGGGAAGGGCATATAGGCTGGGGGGGGGGAGAAGGTGGGGGGAGAGAGAGAGAGACAGAGAGAGAGAGAGAAGAGAAACACAGAAACACTCCCCATGGAACATGGTCATGCTGCATGCCACAAGCCCTTCTCCACCTGTTCCTCCTTTGAGGATTTTGAACACACACGCACATGCGCCCTGAGTGTCTGTGCAGGTCGGGACATGGACCGCTGGTTAGGCCTTGTGGGATGAAGCCTCCTTAGTCACTAGGCCTCAAAGCCGGCCGCTTTCTCCACTTCTAAATCGGCAGCCCAGCTTGTTTGTAAACGTGTGTTCACAAGAGGACACTTTTACTATCCTTGCTTGGTGGCCTGACGTCAGCGAGTCCTTTCTTTAAGTGTCTTCAAGGATGAGAAGAAAGTGAACTGGGCTCCATTGCCTTCTACTGGAGAGCGACCGCCTCAGAGACAGTGGGGCTTGGGCGGGCCAGGGAGAGACAGAAAGCGAGAAATCCCCTAGCCCCGGGAACGGCCATGCCACAGCCCCTTCTCCCTTCTCCTGTCGGACCTTCGGCACGCACGCACATGCGCCCCACGCGTGCCCTGAGTTTTAAGACACCAGCTGAGGGAGCCCAGTGAGAGAGCCACCGCCTTCTGAGGAGAAAGTGTCCCCTTCTTGGTGACTTTCTGTCAAAACACCACCTCGGCCTTCCTGAGAGGCCCGGGCCTGCCTTGCTTGGCGCCCACCCGAGGCCGGGAAGCTGCGTTACCTGGGGCCCGTGGGGCCGTGCGGAGTGGCCCTGTCGCCCCCGGGGAGCCGCCG